GGGAATTAAAACAGAAAACAGCACATGCCCAGAGTGTTGTTTTTGTTTTTAAAACTGGGGTGGGAACTTTTGTTTGGTAACAAACAAAAGTTACATGCTTAAACATGTAAGAAATGCAGATGCACTTGTAAGCCAAGGAATGGTGGGGAGGCAACTCATTGTGTATAAAGCTGGTTGAGCCTTTCTCAGAGGTCTGCAGGCCATTTTCAGCCACATTTCACAGGGGGCCTTGCGATCTGCAAGACACTCGTGGCAAAGAGGAACAGGTTGCTTACCTGCAACTGATGTTCTTCGAGTGGCCATCTGTGCAGTCACACATACGGGTTCTGCGCTTGCGCAGTGCCTTTGGCCGGAAGATTAACAGCTAATGGTTTTTTGGCGGGAACTCCACTCCCCCTCCCCCCTAGCATTATATAAGGAGCGGAGTGTCCGCCATTTTCCAGTCTTTGAAAGACCGGCGTTTGTTGTATAATAAAAAAGGTTTGTCAGAATGACAAGAAATCCAAATTCAGTAGTGGTAAAACATAGGAAAAAAGATATCATAGTATCATAGAAAATAGTCGGACCACCCATGACACCAAGCGGGGTCGGAGGGTGGGTTGTGTGACTGCACAGATGGCCACTTGAAGAACATCAGTTACAGGTAAGCAACCTGTTCTTCTTCGTCGTGGCCTCTGTGAATCACACATATGGGTAGAATAGCAAGCTTACCCGAAATGGAGGAGGGAGGTGTCATCAACGAAGGACAGAAGAAAGAACAGCTCTGCCAAAAGAGCAATTCTGTCTGGCACAGACATCGAGTCTATAATGTCTGGCGAAGGTACACGGAGTAGCTCAAATGGCCGCTCTGCACACGTCTTCTATCGGGACTCCTGATGCAAAGGCCGAAGAAGCAGCAACAGCTCTTGCAGAATGGCCTCTTGGAGTAGATGGTAAGTCCAACTTAGCCAACTGATAAGATAGGACAAATGTATTTATTATCCATTTCGAAAGACGTTGTGGGTGACTGGGCAACCCCGATCATGTTCCGAATATTTCACAAAAAGTCTATTGGAACACCGAACAGACTCAGTCCTGGACCTATAAAAGGCTAAGCAACGACGAACGTCCAGCATATGTAGAGATCGTTCTATCGGATTCGAAGGGGTCAGAAAGAATGCTGGTAAAACAATCTCCTGTTGCATGTGAAACGAAGTAGCGACCTTCGGAAGGAAAGATGGATCCATTTGAAGAACCACATTTTCCTTATGAAAATTTAGGAAAGGGGGGTCTACCCAAAGGGCGCAGAGTTCAGATGATCTATGGGCTGAAGTTACTGCAACAAGGAAGGCCGTCTTCCATGAAGCAAGGCGTAGATCGATCGTCGCCATGGGTTCGAAAGGTGGTTGAGTCAGTGCTTGTAAAACCACCGAAAGACTCCAGGTGGGCATTAGAGGTCTTATAGTTGGATGTAGATTACTCAATCCTCTTAAAAATCTTTTAATCAGAGGTTGAGCAAAGATGGAGAGGCCATGTATAGTTCCCCGATAATGTGAAATCGCTGCTGTATAAACCTTTATGGACGAGGGTTTGAGTCCAGACTGATGCAATTCAAAGAGAAACTGAAGTATCTGTGAAACAGAAGCTGAAGGGGCCAGAAAAGAGTGTAAATTGGCAAAGTTAGAGAATCTCTGCCATTTTGCTGAGTACGACTTCCTACTAGATGGTCGTAGCGCAGATTCGAGAATATACTGTAGGTCTGGGTGTAGACTCTGCTGAGCAGGAATGGCCGGGACGGTTGGTGGCGTCAATACCGGTGCATCGCAGCTGGTCATCGTGTCCTCCATGCAGTCAGTTTCAGCGACAGCAAGTCTGGGTGGCGGATCGTGCCCTCCCTCTGGGTAACAAGATAAGGAAGAAGAGGGAGTTGGAGAAATTCTTCTTGGGAGACGTGAAGGAGAGTCGAGAACCATGGCTGGTGTGGCCACCAGGGGGTGATCAGTAGCCCTGTGGCCCCTTCGTGAATGATCTTTGCCAACACTCTCATGATGAGTGGGATCGGAGGGAAAGCATAAAAAGTCATGTTTGTCCAGGGAATCATGAAAGCGTCCCCGAGGGAGTCCTGACCCACTCCCGCTCTGGAACAATAGGCCGTGTATGCCCTGTTCTGTTGTGTGGCAAACAGATCGATGTCTGGCTGGCCCCATCGGTGAAATAGCATGTCGCGAACCCGATGGTCTAGCTCCCATTCGTGGGACTGCAACATATGTCTGCTCAAGAGATCGGCGTCTGTATTTTCCATGCCCGCAAGGTGAACTGCTACAAGAGTGATACCTCTCGGTATGCACCAGTCCCAAATCTGCATGGCCAGGCGGGCTAGTTTCCAGGATCGGGTTCCCCCTTGTTTGTTTAAATAAAAGACTGTCGCCATGTTGTCCGAGGTCACTTGGACGACCTGGTGCAGAAGCACATCCTCGAATGATTGAAGGGCTTTGAAAACGGCAAGAAGTTCCAGAAAATTGATATGGTTCCTGCAATCCCGCTGACTCCATATCCCTTGGGTACGTAGATCGGAACAGATTGCTCCCCATCCCAGTAGAGACACATCGGTACCGAGGGTTATTGTAGGGTACCGGGGTCGGAATGGAATGCCTACGGTTAGATTGGCTGGGTCTATCCACCATAACAGGGACTGAAGAACGGAAGCCGGGAGTCGAATCCGTTTGGTAGTGGGGTCTATCTGTGGTCGAAACACCCCGTTGAAGAACAGTTGAAGGGGACGTAGCCTGAGTTTGGTGTGTGGAACCACAGCAATGGAAGCAGACATGTGACCCAACAGACTCTGAATAGACCGGGCGGGAGCAGTTCTTGTTTGTCAAATCTGAGCGATGCAATGAGCAATCGCATGTCGTCTGTCCTGAGGAAGGAAGGCTCTTGCCAACGTCGAATCCAGTCGGGCTCCGATAAAGTTGATCACCTGCGTAGGGAGAAGGGAAGATTTTCGTCGATTAATACAGAGTCCGAGATTGTGCAATAGAGCACATGTAAACTCAACAGCAGACGAAAGTCCTGCTTCTGTGTCGGCGACCAGCAACCAATCATCAAGGTACAGGTATATCCGAATTCCACGTAATCGAAGGTGTGCACAGACAGGGGCCATACACTTTGTAAAAACTCTTGGTGCAGTGGCCAATCCAAACGGTAGCACATTGAATTTGTAGATTTCAGAGTCCACCGCAAAACGAAGGAAACGCCTATAACTTGGATGTATTGAAATATGAAAATAGGCATCCTTCAGATCCAATGAGGCGAACCAATCCCCTCTTCCCAGCAATGGAAGAATACTTTGAAGTGTAGTCATCCGAAACTTCTTTGGTGTAATAAATCTATTGAGAGCTCTCAAGTCCAATATTGGTCTTAGACCCCCATCTCATTTCGGAACCATAAAGTATCTGGAATAGAATCCATGGAATCCTTCCGATAATGACAGGTGACGAATAGCTCCTTTAGCGAGGAGTTGGTGAATCTCGTCTAATAGTACCAAAGAAGTCAGAGTATATCGAATAGGATTCGCTGATGGTACAACGTCGAATTCGATTCCATATCCGTGCTGGATGATAGATAACACCCATCCATCAGATGTGATGGACTCCCAAATGGAGAGTCGACTCTTCAGTCGATTCCCAAATGAGAGGGGGGAGGGTGAAGTTGGAATGAGAGGAGAGGTTTGCTCGTCACATCAGCGCTGTTGCCTGTCCGTATCGAAACGGCGGCGGCCCTGTTGGAAGCGCTGTGGCGGTTGTTGCCTGCGACGCTGCTGACGTTGATGCAGTTGCTGCTGCCGAGGCGGAAACTGTTGATGGTACTGTGGACGTGACCATGACCACTTATGTCGGGGTAGAGATTGCAATTCCATACGACGGGCGGTCATCCTTGATTCATGGATTTTCTTCAATTTGCTGTCCGTCCTTGCATGGAAGAGACCAGAACCGTCGAACGGCATCTCTTCAATTCTCCGCTTCATCTCACCCGGAAAATTGCAATTATGCAACCAGGCATGCCTGCAGAGGGAAACTGCACCGACCAGCGACCTCGAATCAGAGTCCACGTGGTGCCTCGCGGTAGAAAGCTGTTGCACCGCCACTTGCATAGCTTCCTTAACAAAAGTCTTAGCAAGTTCACCCTGGTTTCCCGGAAAAGTATCGATGATGGCGTCCAGGCATTGCATCAGGAAATATTGGTAATGTGCCAGGGTTGCCTCGTAATTGCAGATTCTTAAACCAAGGCCCGAAGCTGTGTATACCCGGCAGGTGAGAGAATCAACCTTTCTACCCTCTTTGTCACGAGGTGAGGTGTATCCACGGGCTTCCCGACCCTGTGAGGATTCTACAACAACCGAATTCGGCTTGGGGTGGCAGAGAAGAAATGGGATGTCCTCTTCCCGCACCCGATACATGTACTCGTATTTACGAGAGGTCGGTTGTGGATTAGCTGGGAGGTCCCATGGCTGGGTCATTGCCTGCCGTAAGATAGTAATAAACAGCAAGGCAATAGATGTGGATTGTTCACCTCTAACCACATCATAAAAACGATCGGTGCTCGGTCCCGGCTGTTGGTGGGCTTCTATATTGAGCGATCTCACTAGTCTGGCCATCAGATTGTTAAACGATATGTACGGTTCCTCAGGCGACTCTGGACCCTGGGAAGCAACTACAGCATCTGGCGAGGTTGAGTCAGCCTCAGACTCTTTGGATTCCATCCAGTAGGGGGGTGGTACACTGGAGGAAGAATCTCCTGGAGACCCCGATCTGCCACTCTCTCTAGATGGTGCCCTTGGGGCATCTCTGGGCGTTGAATGGAAATGCTGCCGAGGCGCTGATGGTGAAGATTGTCCCTTAGAGGTAGGATAGTAGGCTGTAGAGTGGTACTCTTCCCGTCTCGGAGCAGAGAAGTACCTGGAGTGGCACCAATCATCAGACCTCACATCCGAGGAACGGCTTCTACGGCTTCTCGGACGGGAGATGGCGATCTCAATATCCATCGGGATTGGAGGCATCGGGGTTGGTGATCGAGCCCTAGGTGGGGAGTCTCGTATTTCCCCATCAGAGATAGAACCCCTCCTCGAATCCATAATGGGTTTGGCTGCCGGCCAGCGCGGTGAGCCCGATGGGGTAACCCTCATAGCCGCCTGGATGGTCGGGACCGAGGGGGTCGGTTCCAAAGTAGGTATCGGAATCGAGAAAGAGGCTGAGCCCGAGTGACGGTGTTTTGCCTGCTTGCAGTTCTTCGGCTTCTTAACCGGCTTGCCCATCTTATCTTTCTTGGCCTTCTTATGCACAGGATATTTATCCGAGTTGCTGTGCTTTCTCTTTTCCTTTTGCTTCTTCGGCAAGGAAACAGACTGATCGGTCATAGCATGAGCGCCTTCTTCAGAAGGGCGTGAGGGTGGAGCAATGGAAGAAGAGGCTGGATGGCCTTCGGGTGGGGCCACAACAGTGAAAGGCTTAGCCACCAGCCGATCAGATTGGAGGAGAGCCTGATCCCAGAGGAGTTTGCGGAGGCGGTTCTCCCTGTTCTTCTTCGCCTGTTTAGAGAAGGCCAAACAATGGCCGCACTTATCGGTTCTGTGCCCTTCCCCCAAACAAAGGAGGCACAGATCATGCAGGTCCGCGGTGGGCATTTTGGAACTGCATTTTCCGCACTTGCGGAATGCCGCCCGTTGCGCCATCGTAGAAAGAAGAAAAAAGGAGATAGTAAAGCGGGAAAGTAATATTTTTGGTTTTTTTTTTTTAGGAACGATAAAGAAGAAAAAATGGTGCAAAGTTAAAGAAATATAAGTGAAATACTAACAACAAGAACAAGGGATATAAACTTGGTAAGAGAAAGAGAGATTTTCGGACGAGCAAGAAGGTAAGTAACAATCTGAGCGAGAGCGAAGCGGCACTAGGCACAACGAACGGCGGTCGCAAAGACTGGAAAATGGTGGACACTCTGCTCCTTATATAATGCTAGGGGGGAGGGGGAGCGGAGTTCCTGCCAAGAAACCGTTAGGTGTTAATCTTCCGGCCAAAGGCACTGCGCAGGCGCAGAACCCGTATGTGTGATGCACAGAGGCCACGATGAAGAAGATTGGTTGCCTCACTACTGAAATCGGCATCAAACTGGGACACGGCACTCCAGAGAACCAAATGGGTTGTGCTCAGGCTCAGTTTGATCTGTTTGTTGCTGCACTGCACTCAAAGCCCTTTCTGGGGGGGACTGGGGCTGCAAGTGCCAAGTTTGGTGGCACGGTGGGGGCTGCATGGTCCACAGACTGCGTGTTCCCCACTCCTGCTGCAAAGGCCAGCAAGGTCAGGAAGGGCATCTGGGTGAACACATTAACTTTCATTAAGGTCCCAAACCAAACCAAACCAAACCGAACCAAACCGAACCGAACCCTCTTTACAAAACATCTAGGGAATGACTGTGTATAGAAAAGCACACATTTCTGTGCCAACCGATCCCTTTCCACCAATTCATGTGACTGTAAATGCTCATCAGCACTTCCATCAATGCAATCTGTGCACATGCAAGCATTCTTTGGTCTAGGGCTGGGCAATACTGGACATAGCCTGCAACTCCCCTCTCCCCTCCACATTGGCTATGCTGGCTAGGATTAAAAGTCTTCTAAACCAGCACATGTGCAGGATTGCAAGTTGCCCCACACCTGTTTTTGACCTTTTCATGAATGCACAAAAGATAAGCAGCAGGATTCCCTATCACCTTTCATGAATTCACATCCATAGATATATCTTGTGAATAGGATTGCTTTTGATTTATACCATACCATTGGGTAAGTTGATTTTTTAAAAATCCATTTACAATGTAAAGATTCTTTGGAATTACCAACTTTTTCACTGATTTACTCAATAGGCCATATATGTCCAACAAGACCTAGAAAACAAACTTTGCTATACACACAGCTTAAGTCATCCTGAATACTAGAGAAGTCTGAGAGAAAATGTATACCTCTCTTTCACAAAAAGGGGATACATGACCAACACACATGCATGCACACACACACACACACACACACACAAATGGAGGTACTTTCACACCACTCAGAAGGTGAAATTTGATACAAGCATAGTCCAAGGAACACTGATGCTAGGAAAGGCCCCCTGCCTCACCACACTGTGAAAAATAGCAGACATGCAAAGCTATCTGAAAATGTCCCTCACGGATGCTGAGCAGAGAATTTATTAGTAAAGTACACATTTTGACACATTTATTCTTTCCATAGCAATATTCTACATTCTCCTGTGCCAGAAGGGTGCAAATTGAATGCCAGGAAATGCAAGATTTCTCCCAACAAAAAGAACAGACTTGGGAGAAGATGTGAGACACGTGTACATTCATCACACACACACCAGCCATATACAAAGGCCCGACATATTGTGTGTGTCAAAAAGGAGGTATGTTCTTGTAGTTTTAATAAGGATGTTGGCACGTATAGAAGAGATTGGCTGTTAAGAGATACGCAAGGTAAATGATAAACATTTGTTATCATTATTCCCTCTTATGGATATTTATGTAATATTTGTGTGTTGGGGGGGCATTCTCTAATCTATGCTGAAGATAGTAGTGCTATTCTGTTCTCTGATCTTCAGTGTTCAACATAAACAGAAGGTACTTACTACATTGGCTAAGAGCCAGCTATCCTGAAGTACCCTGATCTTTAGCTTTAAGCCATGTTGAAACAAGAAGTCATTAATTAAATCCCAGAAAGATTTTTATGTGAACTGCAGTGCTCGGATTTTCCTTCCCACATAATCTGCCTGCATTCTTTACCCCTCAATGCAGAGAAGTGTTCTTCTGTTTGCTTGTATTCTTTTAAGGCTACAGCATTTGTATTTATGATTTCTTAGAATGTTAATTGTAGGTTTGCCTGGTAGATACTATTGAAATTAATTTCAGAGGTTAATTTATTATAGGTACATATTGAAAATCTGATATTAAACTATAATTCATTCCATGTCATTGGTGCAGTATGAATAGGAAAGTGCTTTTTCTGGCTGAAACCTATAAGCATCTGCTTATTTTTAATCATTTGAATATACATATTGAGTAATTGGGATTGGACATTGTAGGAAAGAGCAAAGAACATTGAAGTGATCTGGTGCGGTAAGTTCTATACTACTAAACTCAGTGTTCATTTTATTTATTTATTTAATTTCTGTACCACCCAACAGCCAAAGGTTCACTGCACTAGTCCAATTCTGCCATTCTTAAATTGCACCCATGGAGGAAAAGCAAGACTGCATATGCTACGCCTGCTGTCAGCGTCTCTGAGTGCGCTCTTCCTGCAATCTTCTGGGACAAAGCAGGAAGATCTGAACAGGAATGCAAAGCATGCTTGGCTACATGTGCTTAGAATCCTTCCCACCACCAGGAATCCCTGCCTTGCAGGATTCTCATGTTGTAGACCTTTTTCTGTCTACACAGGATTGAGCTTAAGCTATATATCATGGATGTACATTGTAAATTCCTTAAAAACCTGTATATAATAGCTTACTGGAGGCAAATCTTAACATTTTAAAAATTACCTTCCATGAGTTCAATTGGACTTACTTCCAGGTCAAGACTATAGTCTTAGAGTATTTTTCCAGGGAAACAGGAAAATGACCTAGTTTTATTGCACTATAGTGCTAAAGATATGCAGAGCTGCCATTGATTTGCCTTCACTGTGGAATTTGCTATTTACTGTGCAGTCGCTCTTTGAAATGCTTCCCCTGTGACACCGGAGAGTCCACTGTGTTAAAACCAATGTCAAGTGAACACATTTCCATGCATGCAGTGGAGTTCTCCCTTACTCATGATTGATTCACAAATAATATTTTGACCAGTGAATAAAGTCAGTCATCCAGAAGGTTCAGCACCACTGCCCGTATCAACAGAACAAAATGTCAAAGGATGGAGCAAAGCAAGCATCAAGGATGTACTGTGATCCAAACAAGAAGCACAGGTTCCAAGACAGGCATTTCTGAATTTATTTATTTAAAACATTTCTATACCGCCCCCATCACAACAAAGCCTTGGGGCAGCTCACAAAAAATACAAAAAAACATACATTAATAATAATAATATAATAATTTAAAAGAAAAAAACATTAAAAAAACCCTGGTGCATTCTCAGCTAATTTTAAAATCCTAATTAATTCAATAATTTAGCAATTAAAATAAGTTTTAAATAAAAAGGTCTTAGCTTGGCGCTGAAAAACAAATAACGACGGCGCCAGGCGGATCTCTCTGGGGAGCGCATTCCATAGGGGGGGGGCGCCACCGCAGAGAAAGCCCTCCTCCGGGTACTCACCCTCCTAATATCATTCACAGAGGGTTCCCAGAGAAGGGCATCTGTTGCTGATCTCAAGGGGCGGGAGGGCATATATGGGCGCAAGCGTTCCTTTAGATATCCAGGTCTCAAGCTGTTCATTGACCTGAATGAGCCTAGGAAAGACTGCCTTTTCAGCAGGCCTGCTCTGGGATCAACTGGAGCAGGAAGCTGGTGGTGGTCATGAACCAGTTTTTTGGCAGCAACCAAGTCTCAGACATGGAAGAAGAGGAGAAGCCAGGAAGGTTGGGTGAACCAGTGCCAGAGATGGAGTCACAGGACTTATGCTCCTCAGGTCTTGCTCAGCCACACTGGGAGAAGATGGAGGGTCAACAGGGTGCAAGTGCTGCACTTCTAAAGCACTCTGATCCTTAGCCTTTATGCATGTGTAGCCTGGGACCAAAGGCAGTGAGGGGCAGGCAGGGAAATGCTCCGTGGGAATTCAGGCTGCACTTGAGCAGGTGATCAGCTCTCAGGGACACTGACCCAACTGGCGTTCTTGGCCATGGGCTCTGTTCTAGACGACCTGCACCAAGGCGTCTGACTTTGTGCTTATGTTTTGGGATCTGGATCACAGACTGAACTATGCCTGCCTGCCAGTTCTTGCACAACACATCAGCCTAGGAAAGTGTGCCATCTGCCTCCCATGTGTTCTGCATCTTCAGGACACAGCACTGTTCTTGCCAGCCCTCCCTGGCTTGGAGGCCTTTGGCCATGACAGCCGGTTGTCTAGCATGACCCAAGGATGCCTCAGCCATTTCATGGCATTCTAAAATCAGTGGGTTAAT